GTTTTAGTGTTAACCTTGGAGCCTATAAACACCTATTCCTTAGTGATGATTAATAGGCTAACTAGTTTGTCATATAGCCTTCACACATAAGGTTAAGTTATCTTTTCTAATATCCATTTTTATAATATTTACACGCCGCATTAAGTATCGGGCTTTTTTAATTTTTTTTTTTTTTTTGCATTTAGGGTTATTGAAAATGCTTTGTCTGTGAAGTCTCTGTGTTGTGTGTTACTTGTATCTGTTTTACTGCTGCAATGGTTGTTTACGAAATGAACATATACCAGACCACATAAATATCGTAAAAAGTCATAATGTAGTAACCCTGTCAGACTGTTGATAACACAAAAAAAGTAAAAGTTCCTAATCTTAATAGCATATAACAGTGTATTTTTACTTCTAGTGTTAGTATTCACATATCACAACAACCAGTAGTAAACAGTAAGAAGCAATTCTGACCTTTAGTTAATTATATTTTTCTTCTTCATCAGGGAAATTGCCAGCCTTGTGGTTTGTTTACTTTTGGCTGGTGTCTAATGTGACTCATTAGCTTAACCAAGCCTAATGACGCACAAAACATTACTATATTTCTGTCTTGGTGATTATAACATGTTGAATCACGTTTACATAAAGCCAAACTTTAAACATTGACTTTATGGTAATTTACTCTACAATCATGGACATCCGCAGAATATATTCTATGTGAGGGCAAGCCATCTCGGAGCTCAGGCCATTGCCTTGAAGTTTGAATGCGATGCTCTGGCTGATTACGGGTTATTTGTGTATACCTACTTTCGTCATTCATATTTAAATAGTAGTATTTTCTAATGCATTTATAAGATAAATTCCTCAAATAAATTTTCTTCTGAAATTCTGTGAGGGGGGGGGGGGGTAAATACCTCCTTGCCACATCCTGCGGACACCAATGATGGGCAACAATCACATTACACATATTTTAGGTATTTCAGGCAATACATAGCAAATGAAAGTTTACTCTGCACTGTTGGCGAAGAGAGCTTGTCATTTAGGGAATGGATAATGTTCACTACCTTTAATGCATATATTGATTTTAAAATACCTTACTGGAACTATTAGATTTGAGGAGGAGTAAGACGTGCTTCACCATATTTTAATAGGGAATAAGCCCACTTATGGTGTTATTCGTGTTCTGAATTGTATCTACCTCCACCAAATATTGGTACCTATTTAGTTGAATAGGTCGTCACTATCTTGTAATGCAGTTCTAAGTATATTTGGATTTTAGAGTCTGCTCTTGGTGGCGTTAAGTAACATCCCAGGGCACCAAGTTTCCAAGACAGAATTAAAATGTTGCATTATTATGCAGAATTCTAACAATGCAGGCAGTGTAAAGTTGTCTACGATGCTAGTTACCAGAGAACAAAGCTCAAACCAGCTATACTAAGCCTATATAGTACTTCTACATCTCTGTTCACAATTAGGACAATCAAAAAGTTCTTTAGTTTACATTCAGATCGATAACCTATTTATTCAAAGCAAACTGCGAGCAGTGGGATTTATCGCCTTATTGCTCTTAGATTTAGTTTCGACACTCATAGCAAAGTAAAGGCCGACATCTTGAATCTGTCGTTGTGATGAGCAACCTTTGGGCTGTAGCTCACCCATGACATTTTGCAGCAGTGCAGAGTTCCCTCTACACAGTTTTTCATGCATTCGTCTGTAGTCAAATCTCATTAAAATCATGATTGATGGATGTGGTTTAATTTTATAACCCGTTTCAAAATTTGGCTGAACTGAAACATGCTAAGTATTTGGTAACCAGGGTGATGTTTCTCAATAACACATCCAAGGGTTTCATATTCGTTCAATACAATACTTTGAATGGATTTGGGAATGATCATGTGGACTGTAATTTCTTGGACACGCGTATCACGTTACCTTCGATATGGAGACCCTGAGCTCCTAACTTAATGACCTGCTATGATTTTGTGGTTAGATGCTCGTTTTGCAATCTGCTAGTCGCAGGATTGAATGTCCATCACCAAACATACTCACCCTTTCAGCCATGGGGATGTTATAATGTGACCGTCGATCCACTATTCATTGATAAAAGAGTAGCCCAAGAGTTGGCGGTGGGTGGTGATGACCCTTCCCTCTAGTCTATCACTGTTACTAAAAAGGTACGTTAGCAAATCGAGGGGTAAGTCCTTATTATCCAGCTATTATTATCATAAAGGTGAGCATGCGTGAAATAACTCTATCAGGACTAGGGGAGCTGTTTCGTTGGGAAAAAACAGATTTTAACTCTAGAAATGAAAAGGCTTCATTATTGTGGTGCAAACAGACACCTGTCACCCTCCAAGATGTCTTATAGAATATTTAAAAGATAATTTGAAAGAATAACATCTAAGCTTTCTTATGGTACAGCTGGTTTTTGAAATTCCAATAAGAAGAGGTGATAAACTTCCCACGTGTTCGTTGAGGTGTTTTCATATATGAATGATTCTCAAATCATTACGAGTATCTTCCGACTAAGTATACGTGTCACCTTAAAAACTGTTGGTTATTATTTATACTTAACTTTTTTCATGCCCTCACTGTGAAGCAGATAAGGGATTTTGGTTTAGCCCTGCCACGATCTTATGGGCAGGATATCTCAAGGTTAGATTAATGGATTTTGATCAGACTTATGCAACAGATACTACATAAAGTTTTAGATTGGTTAACTTTTAAAATTCTTGGTTAAGGGTAAATAAAATATCTTGCCCAACCTTGTAGACATATTTCATTATAGGATGAATGGATATTGACTAAGCAGTATTAGAAAGTCCTACACATTGTCAACTTTCGAATGTTAGGGTTAAAGAGTCACTGGCATACAGTAAATACTTCCCAATCTTGTGAGTGTATATCTGAAAATATAGTATAAAATTATTGGAGGCATTGGCGTTTCATAAACATAGCTTGCACTTGTTAAATTTTTTGAACTTTGACAAACAAACCTTATTGTAATAAGGGTAAGCAAATCTACTAAGTAATGTTTAATCATTAAAGGTGTTGTACTTAAATTGTGAGACCTGATTTTTTAGTAAAAGGATGCTTTAAATCTCAGGATCATTTTATTATCAAAGTCGGTGTTTTACTGCAGGTAGTTTCCTCTGTGTTAGAGATCTGTATATTGGAGCTGGTGAACCGGGTTCGAATCCCCACGATATTATACACACCCCCACTGCACACTAAACTGTGGATGATGCATTATAAGAGCCAATCTAGCTCTGGTTTTGATTTTGCTGCAGTAAGGACGGTTCTCTATAAATCTTGTAATTAATGTTGTAAATCTTGTAAAAGTTCTTGTTTTATTAATGAAATGAAAGTGCTTCATTGCAAAACTGTCATAATATAAAGATCTACTTAACAGAATTGATTGTAAAATTTGAAACGTACTTCGAATAATCTGATGTTCTTTTTAATTATGAATGAAAACGTTACTTATAGTAAAAATGTTTTACTTCCTAATATTTGTCCATCTATATGAAATAAAAAAGGAGGAATACCAAATATTTTTTATACATTATTGTTTGCTTCAATATGATTTAAAAATTTTACCGTATTTTGTTTCAGGCATTGTCGCTGTTTTATTGCTTATAACAATTTTGTAATGGTTTAAATATTTCCTTACTTCGTATTATGCATTAGATTAGTAATTCTTTTAACAGAGTGGTTAATAAAAGTATTACAATAAATATTGGTTTGCGTTTAATATTTTTCCTTTTTTGCTGAGGTAGTCCTAACCGATTTTATTACCATACATACTAATATGACTTTAATTCAGCGCCCTCTATCACACTACGATCGATTTGCAAGGTAGCGATCGGAGATTTGCGGAGTATAAACGACTGAATTATTCGGTTTAGTACTAATATTTCAATTTAATGCTGATTATAGTAAGGCATTCATAACGAACACGGAAGCTTGAGCGGTGAAAGTATGCCTATGCCGATTCCATTAATAATATATATATATATATATATATTTATAATCTTGCGATTTGTAAAGTTGTTTTATTAGGGTAAGAAATTGGAAGAAAAATACATAATTGTTCAGTGATAATTCGTTGTAATGAAGGTATGAAAGTCCAGATCAATGAAGATATTTCCATTTAAACGTTAAAGTAAATATTAATAATTGAGTTTAGAAAAATAGGTTTCTGTTACTGTTTAAAATATCATTTGATATAATACTTGTAGTTTTCAATATTTTTTGCGAAACGGATTCAATTCTAAAAACTCATGAGTGTGAAAACAAAGGAGACCATAATATGTTAACCACACTGCATTTATCATATCCAGCACCAACGAGCCTTTCGCCCAATATCAGGTTTAGTGGTAGTCATGGTTGTTTTCTGGGGTAATTTATTAAACAAATTTACCAAGACTTGAGAAAATTTTATAGCAATTCGGATGATCATATTCCGTCATTTGAAAATTTATCAGAAAAATAAGTAAAATTTTCTAAATTATATCGGAATGATGCTGATGGTTATGCTAGTTTAAATCCTCCACCAATGGTATTGATATATTTTATCTATGTAAATGTTCATTATTCGTGAACGTTAAGGGCATCGACTACCTTGGAGGGTAATTGGATCAATACTTTAAAATCACAGTCTTTAAGAAGCTGTAGGTATATAAGCAGTGGGATGGTTTTTACAAAGCAGTAGTATCGTGAGGAGAGTTACACTGTAAAATCTGATTGGGAACGAAGGTTCCTTCTTTATCACTGGTATGGATAGACATTCCGCTGTATGTCAGTGAATAATAGCATCAAACTGCCTAAAGAGAGTTACAGATTAAAATTTGTATTTAACAAATTAAAAATTAGGGCATGTGATATTCTTTTTATGAAATGTGAATTTGAAAGATGTAAGTACACGAAACTTGTGAGAGTAGAATGAATATGAAATTACATAGTTTTTGTTATTTTATCTCTTGCAACAGATTTTGAAGGATTATTTATTTTTGCAGGTCTTAGAGAAAGCTACGTAGCGGTGATCTCCGCTCCACAATTGATTCTTAGAATTCTTCTGTTCCACTTGAAATAATTCAGTGTTATCGGTTTGTTGATGATTCTTCATTTTCTCTTTGATAACGGTCATGTGAGAGAGGTTTCCAACAGTAGATAGACGGCTAGAAATTAGTATCTAGAGAAGACAGCTCTGATGATTAATAGTTCATCTTCTTGAAATCAACTGAACTTTTGAACTGCACGTGAAAGGACAAAGAACAGTACGAAGGAAAAACATTTTGATCGTACTTCGTCTCCTTGATAAGTTAATTGTAAAAATACGTGTTTGAAAAGTAAGAAATAGCGTTATAAAAATAATTATATGATATAGCATCTTTTCTAAAGCAGTTGGCTGTGAAAACGCTTCAACTACTTACAAAAGGAAAGAAAATGATATAAGTTTATTTGTTGTTGTTTTTTTAAATATTTTCTTGCTACCAATTATTGGGAAAATTATTTTGGATAACGTTGTAAGAACTCGTTAATTGTACTTAAAAGAACGAAAAAGTTTTTGAAGGAAGATACTGATAGTTTTTCTTAACCCCCCTTCGATAACAGTTAAGCTATATTTAGAGTTAACTATATATGTCTAGAAGAAATTCTTTACAAGAAAATAGGTGAAATAGGTTTTTATAGGTGAAAACAATCGATCCATTAAACATTTCTAATCTTTGCAGTGCAAGTCTTCCTTTAATCTACAACAAGTGCTTTTTTATATTTTACCTGAACATGTCTATGAATTTTAAACGAATCTTGCTGAACTCTAATAGTTTTACTTGTTTTATATACTTCTAATTTGACTTAGTTAATTTCATCTTATTAGAAGTTAGTTTTATAAGTTTTCTTTTAGTTAATAATTTGCTAGTTTTTAACCAGATTTTTTTTTCTCAGTTTAAAGAACGCTACTTTATGTACTGAAATCCAAGTCAAATTAAAATGTCAAGTCGAGCATGTGGAATGTTATGCTAGTATTAAAAAAACAAAGCCTAGTCGTGTTATGCTATGTTTTGCAAACACTAACATCAGCTGCAGAATGCACTTGACAGACTTGTACCTAAATTAAATATCTTAACAGTAATGTTAAAACAACCTGTTCTTATTAACAAAAAGAAATAAACTACAATTTTGGAACAGAATATTAGTACAAAAATTAGTTTTGACACTTAAATGTGCCCTCTTCAGTCCAATATATTCTTCTGGACAAAAGAGGACATATGAAAGTGCTGAAACTATTTTCATAATCTATAACATTTTATTCCAAAAATGTTTGTTTCGCTAATTTAGTTAACACGCACGGTGTTGTGAATTTTAGCTAACACGTTCAAATCTTTAGTTATGAATTTTATAACTTAATTTTTCTCCAAACACAGCGTGCCTTTTTGGCAATAGTATTCTATTATAACAAGGAAATCTTTCAACAGGATTATTTCATATGAAGGTTGGTGTACCCATTTTCACACTTCTATACGTTTTCTGGAAAACTTTCGGCTGTTTGTCACACGTAGGTAAACATCTATTGAATAATTTTGAAGCACAAATGCTATTCTGTTCCTCCTATTGTCTAACAACAAACAAAGTTGTAGTTTTTTAGTAATATAATTCCCATCTTTAATCTGGTATTAATTAATCATTTATATTGAAACCTCAAAATGTCTTGGATATTTACATAAAAACACCAACACAAAATATCCGAGTGGGATTTTATACCCGCAGTTTATCTGGGTGTAATTTTATAGTATAAGCACTGGATTTGGTCTTCATTACAATCAGTCAAGAACTACGACCTGAAAGATGGATTTGTTACAAACGGTCTGAAAGTTTCATTTCAAATGGTAAAGACGACTAAAGTTAAACAATCCTACACCATTCGCAGTTTCTTTTCTTTGCTATGTACACAGTAAAGGGGGGATTCCAATGAATCCCTAGTTGTGTTTGTGGGCAGAAGTTTATCACTATGTACACAGTAAAAGGGAGATTCCAATGAATCCCTAGTTGTGTTTGTGGGCAGAAGTTTATTACTATGTACACAGTAAAAGGGGGATTCCAATGAATCCCTAGTTGTGTTTGTGGGCAGAAGTTTATCACTATGTACACAGTAAAAGGGGGATTCCAGTGAATCCCTAGTTGTGTTTGTGGGCAGAAGTTTATTACTATGTACACAGTAAAGGGGGGATTCCAATGAATCCCTAGTTGTGTTTGTGGGCAGAAGCTTGTTAGTTTTTTTGCTAACCGTAAATAATGTAATATTATGGGTGTGGTCGGTAAGACTTAATCAATCTTTGCATCTTACTTTGAATAAAAGGAAAACATGTTTGAAGAATGAGATGTGTAAAACAAAAACAACATGAGGTATTGAACTTTATTCTTAAATCCAATACTATCGGAATATAAAAAATAAACTGGTTTGTCGTACTTTTTTTTTAATATTGCGAATAATTTATAGCCACACAAATATTATGTCGACGATACCCAAGAAATATATATTTTTACAACAGTTCCTATATGTACGTCAGTGTGATGTGGAAAATCTTTTGCTTTTTTTTTTGCCTACAATTTTTATTTCGTTTTCATAGTTAAGGGTATTATATACATTGTTACTTTGAATGTTAAAATGATAATTGAACTTGCATATTATTTTCTTGTTCGATATTTTCAAATTTTCTTTTAGTTCACATATTAATGATAATGTTTGTTTGGGAATCATAGCATTCCTTGTACATATTTATTATTTTGTAATACATATTTTGATGTTCTTGGTTGTTTTTTAACTGAGCAGCTTTTTCGTAGTTACAAATGCAGGTTTTTTTGGAGAGAGGTTGGTCGCATTTTATTGTGACGCGTTTTTGCAGTTCTAATGCATGACGAATGATAAATTTAAAGTTTTTACTTTAATCAATCTACGCTGTGTAAATATTTCTTGAGCTATTTGTTTGAAATAAGAATGTTGTATAGTGCTGTTGTAATTATTAATTTTTATATTTTAGTGTAATTTCACAAGCTCTAATACTTCAGTGTTTATATGAAGATAATGTACTTTTCATTACCTATATCACAATTCAACGGAAATAATAAAAATTTTGAGAAGTGACGTAGGTTATTTCATTTTAGAAATGTGGTTTCCTTTGAAAGGGACACTGAGACCACCATAAGAGATTCTACTTGCATGCAAACACGGAACATGAGAACTTATCTGGGAAGGGATGAAGACATTCTAGCTAGGAGTTTGGGGACCGCCCAACGGCTCCACCATATTGCAGGTGCAAAGCCCCAGAAATTCATGAGTTTTTAACATAGTTGGGGATAAAAAACAACTTCTTCCTCTTACATACATGTGTGTGTTAATTCGACTAAAGAGAAGAAAGTATTCTGTGTGATACAAGTAACTTATTTTTCAAGTTGCAGCCAAAAATCAGTACCGTGAACAATGCTAATAAAAGACAGTTTTACTTTGTGAAACTTACCATGAAACACTTCCCTATGGATATAGTCAGTAAAATCAATTCTAAAAAATCAGTAGCGATATTTGAAGAGATACTTCCATGTGTATTCCGACTGCTTCATCATTTATTTTTATTCAGTGATTTGCAGTCTTTCTCACGTATGTAAACTACTATTTTCACTCAGATATTTCTAATTTAATACGGATTTTGGTACGCAGGTAAATGAAAGGACCCAAAATTATACCCTTTTCAACCACACCACATATACCTTCATCTTGGCCACTATATTGGGAACTGTATAACCAAAGTAAACTCTTGTGTTATTAGACAACTTGTGGTATGAGGGGTAACCTATTCACAGGTCTAGATTGTGTTTAAACGACAAAAACAACAACATTATGTCGGCGGACTTCAATTCTATTCCAAACCATCAAGTTATCGTTACCTATCAATAGAAGATCACAGCCTTGCTTTATAAATGCTACTGAATGTTGCCTTTTATTATTCAATGTTAACCACTTGCATAAATATTGCTAAAAATGAGCAAGGATGTTCCTAGAAATAAAATAATCTAACCGATTCGTAGCAGATTTCTTACCAACTCGGTAACAGTAAAACATAGAGGAGCGAAAACTAACAACTCAATTATAGCAGAACATATTTACACTAGCTTCGAATAGAACAACATGGAGTAGCAAAAACAGCTCGGCCGTAATTCAACATGGAATTACTAGAATACATAAACTAACAGTTTAGCCATACTGAAACACAGTAACGAAGCCAAAGAACTTAGCAGAACATGAAGTTGTCCTACTAAAAACCTAACATGTCGGACATATGAACCACGATAGCCGTTCGTAATAGGGATCGAAAGGAATTGCATAAAACCCTAATAGAACGTTTGGGAAAAAGCACTTAAACAGTAAAGATTTGGTTCAAAGAACACTTTAAACTCTTTATTATTGACTTCTAAGGCTGTACACACGAAAAAATGTACAAAAACAGAGATGTTAGACTTACAAGGAAAAGAAAATCGGCTCATAACGGCCAGTTTGTAATTATTATTATTATTCTCTTGCCAACCTACAACAAAAACGGCTTGGTATATTGCACCCAAACCTTTTGTAGAATACTACATAAGGTACTGTAAAGGTCGTAGGGGTATTGAATAGTTGATTTGTTTCTTATATATTAAACATAAGCTGAAAAAAATCATAATCGTAGTGTAAACAATTTTATCATCACCCCTTGAAGATAGCTTTTTTACAAATATCTGGCGTTCTTTTAAAAAGCTTAAGTACAGGGTGAAACAGGAATTACCAGCCAATAATAGATGACTATAACATGTAGATATTCAATGCTTTGTACACTATACAATATTTGTCTTTAGGGAGCGAGCCCCTATATTATGTATGAAGTGAAGAAGTAAAAAAGTCAGTACACATTATACTAAATTTTATTACACACATTCGTAGAATAATTCCTTTAAAAGACATGAAGGTTTATTTAAAGCGATGTTTTAGACGTGTATGTTTTATTTGAAAGGGCTTTTTTTCTTCTGGTAAAATTTTATACGCTTAATGGGGATTATGTCTTAGTCTAGGCATATATTGATATGCGTTATGTATACAAAATTTAGTTACACAGAAATATAAATGCTCGCTATATTCTGAAACAAATCTCCAGCTGCAGCTTACATTTTTACATCTCGAACTAAATCTATCAAATAGTCAATAGCTATAGTAAATCATCATGAACCATATCAACTAGCTATGCTTATTATCATTACAATGTATAAAGTTAGCTACCTTATCAAATAATCCCTTTCCCATAGTTGAGCTTAAAAAAAAAACAAGATAAAATTGGAATTTAAAAACCTACAATTAAGAATCGTAACAAAAGTAAGCAAACAAGGCTGGAGATACTGTAGACATTATTTATTCAAACTACAAGCCCCTATTTAGGCTCCACGTTGTTCCCTAGAATTACATTTGGTGGAGTCAAAATAGGGACTTGTAGTTTGAATAAATAATGTCTACAGTATCTCCAGCCTTGTTTGCTTACTTTTGTTACGATTCTTAATTG